CATTGAAACAATAACTATTCGCACAACTGTTTAATTTTTAAAACTTCTTAAAAAAAAAAAAGAAATTTACATTAATTTACAAGTATATAATACTTTTTTCGTGGGATTTCCTTTTGATTTTATAATTATTGTAACTCTTCTAAGCATTGAATTAACTAAAGTATTAGTTATTCGAAGTGGGATCTTCTTCAATTCATCTATTAGAGCCATTTTTAAAAGTACTTTACTGGAAATTTGATGTTTTCTAATTCTTACGGAGCAATAAACTAATGTGTTTACGTTACGAACTCTACACTAAATGGTTCGTCATAAAAATCATACAAATACTTACTGCTTCTATACTTTTACCCACTTTTCGCATTTTTTTGTTAATTTCACGAATTATATAAACTAGTAAATGTTGTTTGGACTATATCTATCTTAGAGATTTCCGAGAATATGTAAAAATCATTAATTACAAAAAATTAAGTTAAAAAACTACAATTTCCCCCAAATTTTTGGGAGAAATTGATCGGTGTACGAATACATTCTACACTCACTGTATATGAAATGTAATGTCTCTACCTTCGTCAGGATTTTCACTAGTAATTCTTGCTGCAATTACATGACCCCATGGTTGAGGTTTATGTTGCGGCTGATCAAAGTCGATGATACTATCGCCCCACGGACTTTCACCATAAAGAAGCCGAATATCTTTTATATGGTGAAGCGGTAAACCCATGGCGATTTGAAGCTGTGCCGCGGGTAAGTTAACATCTGACACCATCTCCGTGCAAGGGTGTTCCACCTGAAGACGTGGGTTCAACTCCAAGAAATAGTATTTTCCAGACGTGTCGTAAAGGTACTCAACAGTACCTGCGCTGACATATCCAACCATTTTGGCCAATCTTACAGCAGCCTATACACAGTAAATATTGTTTTACGAAGTTGACAACATATGTATTTTACAATTACAGTTGGACTCTGTAAAGTTTCTTTTTATGAAGCTATTGAGAATGACAATTGAATTGCTTACGTTTCGAATTCTTGGTTACCTTTTCCATTTCCTCGAAAACTTCAGGTTTGGCAATCACAGCCGGAGCTTCTTCGATAATCTTTTGATGCCTCCTCTGAATAGAGCAATCGCGACCGAACAATGAGATCGCGTTACCGTAATTGTCTGCCAATAATTGAACTTCCAAATGTCGAGCACACTTTGCCAATTTCATAATAAATATAGGAGATCCAGGTATCTCAGTTTGTACCTGCCTGAGAACAATGTTCAAGACGTTTACCATAAATAATAATTGTAGAGATAGCTTGGCTGTTTAAAATGTAGATTGAGGTTCAGCAAATGGGGTATCCTCCGATCGGGCTGATTTATTTATTATAGGTAGCTTGACCTGGCGATTACAACGGTGGTCATCTCATCCATTAACCCCCCCACCCCCCACCACCCGGAGTAAACAACTGAAATGGTTCAAAAAGTGTTTTTTTTGCCGATCTCATGAGTACGTCATTTCCCAACCTCTTTTTTTTTATGTGAACTGAATTTAATTCGGCACGAAAGCGTGGTCGGCCGTCTGCTGGCGGCCGGGAATAACAGACCTAAATCTAACTCGAATCTAATCCATTACATTAGTTACTAGGTAGAATAGTTCGGTTTAAGTTAGGTTTAGGGCCGGCTACTCAAATTAAGTTTTTAAGCACCCCAATCCTGCACTCCACCCTAACTCTAACCATGACCGTTTTTGTTTTGTATATATAGAGAAATACCTTTACGTACATCCCCTCAATGGAAGGCAGTAGTAACAGTGTTCAATATTGTCGCCTGGTGCTATGATGTTCCTCCACGTTAAAAAAAAAACAGAACTTGGAGATTACGTACTCTCTGAGATCGACAAAAAAACACTTTTTGAACCATTTCAGTTTTCGACCCCCTGAGAGAAGTAAGGGGCGAGGAAGTTAAGGGTTAAGATGACCACCATTGTAATCGTTAAGTCAAGGGGTACCTATGATAAAAAAAATCAGCTCGATTGGAGGGTACCTCAGTTGCTTAACCCCAACCAAAATGTATAACGTCATAAATACACAAAGTCCCTCCAAGGAATATATTTATAACGTTTTCGTATTTAGCATATATTGTATATTTTGACGATCTAACTGTTAATATAGCACGTCTAAAATTTGTTGATGATATCCATGATACATAAGTATAAAGCATATTGCTTGGGAGGGCTATAAGTACTTACGCGGTTATGTACTTTAATATAAATGTTCATTAACTTATCGCATAGATTACATCTTATTCATTAAGATACTTTAGCTTACCTAAATAATGTAGGCAATTCTTCAGCGTTCTCTACTTTTCTGATACCCTTACCACCCCCTCCCTCGCTGGCTTTCACCATTATGGGAAAGCCTATTTTATTGGCAGCTGCTAAACACTCTTCCACTGTCGATACGCATCCCTTCTTGAAGAGTTCCGAAGATATTTTTATCTTCTTTCCACTGTACTGAGCTTTCAATTCTGACCCCGACCACGGAAGTGTCGGCACGTCCGCGGTTTGCGCTACTATACTGGATGCGATTTTGTCTCCAAGGGCCCACATAGCTCTTTCAGATGGTCCTGCAAAAATTATGATTGAGATAAAAAAAAAACATACTTCTGGTATATACCAAGCTAGACCACGTCAGCTTCAAAGTGAATTGTAAAAACTAAGCTGCAGATTTTATGTATTTATGACACATACTAATATGGAAAACATATGCAAAATGCGTGTACATAAATATTTCATAAATTGGCATATTAATATTAACATTTCATTTTCATATGGACATGGATTTTGCATTTCATTGCTCTTATGATATTATTAAACCCCATTTTAGTCTTGGTACGAGTTTTATATATTAATAATATAGCAAGGTCCTGAATAAATTGATATAATATCGTTGTTGACAGTATATCAACGCTATTGTACAAGATGTATGACTAGACAATTTTCTGTTTAAAGAAGGACGAGTTCAATGATCTATAGTTCAGGCTCATTCCAGGTCAAACAGTAATATTGTAACACCTGAATATCTCAGGAAGTATTAGTTTTAGAATAGATATACCTTTATGTTTTTATTATTACAAAATATTAAGAATAAACCTTAATCCTTTGGGATTTAAGGTTGGTTCCTTATGAATAATTAAGAGTTCTGACTTCATTTACAATAGTTCTACAATTCCTGATCAATTAAACTAATAGTTCTATCAAATAGTTCGTGAATAACTCTAAACATACTAAAGATAGTTCAGAAGAGTTCTATCAATTATAACTATCCAACTCTTTTGATTTTATCAGAACTCATGGCAATCGAATGGCAGATCACACTGAAAGTGATGGTACCACAGATTCTCGCACTTAAAATTGTTTAAAAAATTATCCGAAAGTTTTACTTGATAAAACTATTACTTTAATTGATCAGGAATTGTAGAACTATTGAAAATGAAATCAGAACTCTTAATTATTTATGAACTGTCGCGTTGCGAAGAAAGAGTGTTTAGATCGGACGACAATTGAATGAGTGTTTAGACAAAGCGAACGGACCAGGGCGAATGTTTAAATTAAGGGATCCATGACATGGCGTGACCTGAAAGCATGGGTGAGTGTGATATGTACGTGTGAATTACAAGAGGAATGCAGTTTGAAAGAATCAAGGGGAGTAGTCAGTCATAAGCGAACAGGCACCGTGAACGTATCGATTGAATTTTTAATAAAGTACGAAGTTTTAACCATCAATTTTACTGCGGTGGAAAACGGGTACCCAACATGAACTTCCTAAAGTTTTATTCGAAGCTAGTGTTTTGCCCAACTGACTGCTGAGACTGCCTACAGAGCAGAAGGTTGACAGCCTAAACGTCTAAACCATGGTCGAGTGTGGAGATCTATGTTAGAGGGTTCATGGAGGGAATAGCTAGTGGACCTCTTCAGTGCCCGAAATTTCCATAAAGTCACCAATATTTTGGCGAATTTTTAAAAAATATTATTAACTTCACTACTTTTTTCCCATCTACAATTATATTTAATTGATACTAATCATAAATTTACGAGTATCTGCTCGGAAACGTTTACCTTTTGGGTGTGTTTACATTTTTTGCTGTACGAAGCGAAATATAAATGCGAAATTTCTATCAGACCACTTAGTTTGTGCTTAGACTCTGAGTTCATAAGTCCAGCTAGGTACAATAAAAGAAGTGAAACTCCGAAAAAAAGTAAGTATTTGCGTAAAAATTGATCTGTAAATTTATTGAAACCGTAATATTTTATATTTTAATTTCTTACTAGTAAAATGGCACGAGGACAATTGTTAACCAGTAAAGAAAAGGCATCCATTGATGCTTATAGGGATATAGGATGTTCTAATCACATAATTGCAAAAAAAATTAACCTATCACGTACCGTTGTAAATAATTGCGTAAATTTACGAAAAAATTGTGGCAAAAACCATCCCAAAGGGGGAAATCAAAAGCTAACGAAGAGACAGCATCCATTATTAATGAGATCTGCATCAAAAGAATTGAGAAGTGCGGCACAACTTCGCGTTGAATTAAATTTGCCAGTAACTACAAGACGCGGACAACAAATTTGAAAAAATTCCAAACGATTCCATTGGACAAAAATGGTGCAGAAACCAGCACTTAAAGCCGAACACAAACAGGCTTGTCTTGATTTTGCAAAAACTCACATGTCCTGGTCCAAAGAATGGGAATTTGTTATTTGTATCTGTTATCTGAATTATTCGGTTATCAGAACAGCCTTGTTCCTAGACCTGTTTGAATAAATGAGGTTCTACTGTATCGTATTGCATTGACGTACCAATGAAACAAATGTTATTTTTGTGGAGCAGTTCAGGCAACTTTGGATTTTCTGAAGCGTGACCCCATCCCGCCCATACAGCCTGGACTTGAACCCGAATAGCGATGTCGACGATCAGCTCCACGTTGGCATAATTGTTATTGTTTGTTCCGCCGGGCACGGGGACGTATTGATCCGCCATTTTGATGTACTCCGCATTCGCCTTTAGATCCTCGGGGGTGACCATCACAACAAAGCGCACAGCGCGTTCGTTCTTGAACATCTCGTAGGACCAACGACGAATCGAACGCATACATTTCACCGCTGCTATCCCGTTATTGGCGATGAGAATCTGCAAAAAAAAAATGTATTTTCAATTAGGTCGAGTAATAATCTTTTGTTCTACGTTTATCGGTGTAAATCCTTTTTGGTTATACTTGTGATTTGTAACTGTCGTATTATTATATATACAGGTCGAGGGGATGACTATCAGCCCCCCTAAAATAACTTGTTGTTTAAAGATATGAGAAATTATTTTATATAAAATATAGTGTTCCATGACACTTATCGAACACGGTGCTTTTTCAGTTTTATCGTGCCATAGATTTTTTGTTTCTAAACCAGTGAATAAGAAGTTAGTTATTTCAGATGGTAATAGTTATCGACTCACCCTATATACCTTAGGCTGTTCATCTGTAATACGATCCGTACGCACGATTTTTCAGGCATTCTCAATAATTTGACGAAGAAATGTTTGAAAGAAAAGTTTATTAGTCTTCAGTCATCTACAAATTTCAATGTAAAAAATTTCTAAACAAGCATTTTTTCTACAGGGAGTCAAAGACACATCAAGGTCACCTCAAGGTCATCTTAGATTTTTAAATGACACTGTACATATAATTTTAACTGTGTTACAATGTAGTTGGTGCGGAGACAAGTACAAGGACCTACTATACTGCGACTTTGACGTATCCTTCAATTGAGAAGTATGGGGTGACTTTCACTATTCATAAAAAAAGACTTAGAAATTTTATAGATTGAAATTTGTAGTTAACTGAAAACTAATTAATAGTCTGTTTGTAATGGATCACCCTGTATACAGGGAAATTTGTATGTCTAAGGTTGTGGACACTTTTAGATCACGTTCGTTTTTTTGTTCTAATGGAATAATATATATCTATATTTGCAGTGCGTTAGATAATGTAAGAACAGCTATAATGAATGTATTCTTCAAGGTCATTCAAGGTCAGTTATGAAGCCTTGACCGGCTATGTTCGTTGCGAAACAGTACGGTGAGCGAGTTAACATACTCGAGCGGAACGACACATCTGCGCGTTAAATGACCTGCTTTTGATACGTTGCATTTGTTTCAAAGTAAACATAAATAGAATGAAACACTAATACTATTATATTATTATCATGAAAAATTGCTGGAATATAATTTTCAAGTTTCACGAATACTTTTATTATCGTGAAACTTCTTTTCCTTTCGTCTACAGTTTATTATTTATCTACACTGTATATACAAAGAATACAGTGTAGCATTCAATAGTTTATTTAATATACTTTCTCGAATCTTTTTGTGCAGAATTACGTCTATTTAAAATTGATATTCAAAGTTTTAGGTGTAGAAATTTATTTTGTGGTTTTGTACGGTCAACTTACCATTTAATTATAAAGAAAAACCATAAAACTTTTCATTTTCCTTAATCACAAATTTTAAGAGAAACAGTCGTAAAACTAAATTTCGAAGCAATTTGTGTGTTTTATTGTTATAAAAGTTGATACTCTAACATAAAAATGCGGTCAGTGAATATTTCTATTTAAAACCGAATTATAAATTATTACGTAAATATAGAGATACAGAATTAATTTCTTCACTTGATAATCGTAAAGTATGCTTTTAATCTCCAAACTGGAATTACGAATAAATAAATGTACGAAGGCAGAGAATTAATTTCTACATCTAATAATTATCAAGTATACTTGTAATCTCTTAGAAGATCAACATCGAGCAAAATTTGTGAGCCACTGAACTTCGTATGCACAGATACATTGTAATGCCCATCAGGTTGAGACTTCTATCTACATACATATATCAATTCACTGTAATGGGAATCAGTTTGAGACCTTAGAGCATTGATAATTTAATAAGAAAATATTTTTACTTAAACTACCATCCTTTTCTATTTTCACTTTTACCGATGTAATTTTTATCAATTTTCTTTCCTTTAATTTCTTTTACTTTTAGAGTAAGAAAATATTTGTAATTAAACAGTTATCATTAATAGTAACAGTTGCAATTAAGCAGTTACAGTTATAAACGATTGAATATAAAATCACAGAATTAATTTCTACACCCAGATAGCACCGGACGTTCCATGGACGTCCATTTTATGTTCAGTTTACGTGCAAACATCCGACGTCCGTTGTCGGACGTCCGCCCGGAACGTCCTGCGAACGTCCATGGGACCTAAATGCTGTACGTCCCAGGGACGTCCGCCCGGAACGTCCTACGAACGTCCATGGGACTTAAATTTTGTACGTCCTAGGGATGTCCGTTCTGAACTTTCTAGATTTAGGGAAAAATACTTTTTTTTTAAACAAAATAAATATTATTTATTAATATTATTTATAATATAATATTTATTCAATATGTAGAACAGAATATGTTTTCCAAATATAAAATACACTATTTACAATTGTAAATTAATATTATTATCCCAGATAGCACCGGACGTCCCATGGACGTACAGAGAACGTACAGAAAACGTTCTGGAAATGTCCAGCACTGGACGTTCCATAGATGTACATAAGACGTTCCTGTTCCTGTGCTATCTGGGTATACAATCATTATTTAATATTCGCAACAGAATATTTTCTTCCGTAGATAAAACACATATTTATCTAATATTCACAACAGAATATATGTTTGAACATGTAAAACAAAATGTTTATTCAATATTGGGAATACAATATTTTTTGTACATATGAGATGTGATATGTATGTAATATTTGGAACTATTCAGAATTACCTAGTAAATTAATTCTTCTAACTTTTCAAAAAAAAGTTCAAGTCATTTAGACCAATTTCAAAAGAAGGAATTGTATTTTAAAAAGTATCCGAATATTAATGCGAGTCACTACATAAGCCTAAAATATGAGTCGGGTTAGCAAAAGCGTTTATGGGTAAGTGAGGAAGCAGGTTGCGTTATAATTCGAAAATCGTGAGTTCGAATCCCGCCGGAGGTAAATAAATATTGAAAGATTTGTTCTCGTCGTTTTCATGGAATCCAGTTACAAGAAATAAATACAGTTAACTAAAGTCTACCAACAAATAAAAGAAAATATATAAAATTAAAATTTAATTTTTTTTTTAAATCTCAATTTTCAAAATTTATTCAACATTGTCCAAATATTCAATACACACATCTTCTAAACATAAATTTCATTTTAACGTTCATTTCGATCGTTCGGAAAATGTTTTGGGAATGTCCACACCGAACGTCCCAGGGACGTACAGAGAACGTTCTGGGAATGTCCACATCGGACGTCCCAAGGACGTACATAGAATGTACACGCCGGACATCCCGAACGTCCAGTACCGGACGTCTTATGGACGTACATAAGACGTCCCTGTGCTATCTGGGCACCTATTATTTTATTTAAAACAAAACAAAGAAATGGATGACCCACATTTATGTAGGAATAAAAAATTCCCACCATGCACTCTCCCCCTCTCTTTCGTACGCCAACCAACTTTCATTTGAAATATTTTTTCTCTCTCTCCAAACACGTAATTGGAGCCTTTTAGTCTGTCTGACTTGAATACCATATATTCTTTCCACGCCGCGCTGTTACGTGATGAAAAACGAAAGATAAAATATGTACGCTTTCGTTAAAAAGAAGAAAAAACAAAAAATTAAAAAAAAAACATGCAAAAAAACGCAGAAACATAAAAAGGACAGAAGTGCAACGTTCAAGCCGATTTTTATTCCTACGGAAATATCAAGGAATGCGGTATGACATACATGTAATATATATATGCGGTATGACGTTGGAGCTATGCATGTGCGTAACGACACATGCGATGTGACGTGTACGTTTATCAACAGTGTGAATACGGCGACAATTTTCAATTAATTGCGGCGACAGAACGTGGCCGCGCGGCGTCGAATATTTTCACCGCGATTGCTATTTGAACCAAATTTTTTAATGAATACTTTCATTGCATAGGCGAGGAAGAATGCTTTCGACAATGTTTACAAGTATTCGATGACTAAAGAGATGAGACGTGAAAGAATAATTGAAGGAAATTTTGTTTGAAAGACTAGTAATTAGTTATGAATGAGTAGTGGACGAAAGGTAGCTTTGTTGGTTATCTTCATAGTGAGGGCGATTTCTATTTAATGAACATGAACATTACTATTTCACAGGCAATGCTAAGGTTGGTTTCGATAATATATTTAAATAGACGATGATTAAAGAGTGTAACGTAAAAGAAAAATAAATTGAAGGAAAGAAAATTAATGATATACTATATACAATACAATATGTATGTTAATGTAATTAATGATAATAATTGATGAGTGAGTAGAAGATGACATGTACTTTGTTCATTACTTTCGATTGACTGAATATAAATATCAATACTTTCACAGACAAATTCCATAATATCGCAAGCATTCTGTCTCACCTTGTTGATGACGTTGCTGCCGCCGAACCGATGAACAAATTCCTCAGGTGTGGCAATGGTGAAGTCCTTTTCTTGGAGCCTACTCTGCGTTTGGATCATCACCGTGCCCTGCGACATGCTGGGCCTATGGAATTAAATTGAACATGGTATATTTTTCTCTGTACAAATTGCGTTAATTGATTACTTTAATCCACGTACCGATCATTGACTGTGATCATATGAAACTTTTGAGGATATTGAGAATTCAATAACGGATCAATGATAGATGTACGTCTACCAGTAATCTACTAATCCATGGCATTGTCTCAATTTCTATCAATTGTTATTTGACCTATTATTACGATTAGGTTTATAATTTCTTCTTGCACGATTATTATTAATGAAGTAATTAAAAGAAAGTGCTGTACCAGAATGCATTTAGTAGTATTTAAATAAAAATATGCGTTTTGTGCCTTCAAAAATGTATGATTACATTTTTCTGTTTGAAGGTGGAATGCTTGGATACTTGGGAAAAAAAGAATTCATTGATTAAGGGGTGCAACTACAATAGAAGGACAAACATTAAGTGTTTCTCCGAATATTCTTTTTTACAGAGAAGAATTTACGTAAAATTTGTTTAACATTGAGAATATTTTACGTACGTGTCAAAGTACATTTGGTAATGTTTTCAATTCATTCCACACAGATATTTTTAATATAACAGCATTTTTCAATTTTATCCATTTCTGTACAGCTTTTTTCAATAAAAAACGTACTTCAACGATATCATTTGAATTTTGTTAGTTCACATTCAAGACATTTGAATGAAGTAGATGTATACAAAATTTGAAAATGATCATTCACTCAGTTCTTGAATTATGATTCCCAATACTCAACAATTTCTGTGCGAAATTAATTGAAAAAATTACTAAATGTACTTTAAAACATTCCACTCTCAAAATTAAACAAATATTAAGTAAATTTTCTCTGTAAAGAAAAGCCAAAAAAAACATTTTAATACTTACTTTCCTAATCTGGTTTCCCCCAATAAGAAGCTATGCTAGTCTGATTCCTTCTAAAAACCGAATTTCTTTTTTTTTTTGCATTTTCTTGCAGTATCATACCTTAAAAACGTATTCCTGAAGTATTTTTAACGTACTCAAATAATTACCAAAGTAAGATCCTAAAAGATTTTCAAAGATAAACAAAAATTAATTAAATTTTCCTCTCTAAAAAAAAATCACAAGAAACACTTAATATTTAGTTCTCCGATTAGCGCCCATTGAGAACCTAAAATCATTTATTGCCATTGAATATTGTGTTCTACTTTGAATAAATTAAAATTTCCTTGGCTGATATCAACAAATATAATCGTATTCCTAGGAAAATCGGTTTTCTCAAATTTTTTCAAGGTAATGCACGTCAGCCATTAGCGGGGAACACGTGAATGACAGCAGAGAAAGTATACGAACCGTTAATTTAGGTGACTCACGCAACGCCATTCCTACAACTTCGTAACGCTTTCTGAGCCTTCTATGTCTCTCGCCTTAAATATGGCTTTTCTTACACAGTCACCAGCATTTCTCTTCCTACTTCGAATCATCCGGGTAATTCGTTCCATGAGTGATCAGAATTCTAGATGAGTTCTGGATTCTTACGGTTACGATTTTCCCTTTTGTCGTTTATTATCACGTCAAACACTTCATTTCATTCAAGCGATGTAAAAACGTTTCATGAACGTTGCCTCGTGTCTCAAGTTTCTCAAATTTCACGCGAGTTTCTGCAAGGCACAGACATGTGACACACTTCAAAGGCAAACAGGACTAGTTGTGAGTTCAAATTTTGGAAACTTGGTACACATTTACGTAATATATTTTAATTTTTTACTATTTCTAAATGGGGAAACTGCCACGAAACATTTATTCTACTCACATATTTGTGCAGGCATTTCTTTTAGTATTCTTTTTGGTTCGTTTTAATAGAATTTCTTATTGCTTGGAGAACGAAAGAAAACTTATATTTATACTAGAGCAATAAATATCAAGGGGAGCATCGTTGTGTTTTTTCTAATTTGAAATCTTTGAAAATTTATATTTTATGATCAGTGACAAATCAGTATAGATAGTAGCATGTTTATAATTCCATTAAATTGTAATATCAATAATGAAATCAAGTGAAGAGAACAATCGTATGTATATAAACAAAAATTATAATTGTAGTATACAGCATTATATATAATATTTATTACCTCACGAATGGACTAATATTTTTTCTTTCTCATTTATGTTGTAGTTTTTTTTACCTTGTAATAAATGAGTTTAATATGCACCTTATTTTCCTTTCGATTTGAACAGTTTTTCATACAAAAAATTATTGTTACTGTAATTATTCTTATATAGGGTGTCCCACGTAACACTTTTCGCCATTTTTCAAGTACTTTTAATAATCTGACAAAAATATAGTATGTTTGAACAAATATATTTGAAACAAATATATTTTCGATTGGCTGTACATTGCAATAAAAAGAGTTTCATTTTTTAACTAGCACTTTATATTTTGAACTTAATAGTATTATAGTCCTTGTCAAGACGAATTCAACGGCCTAATGTATCATAACCTTGGGATGACATTAAAGATAAAGAAATGAAAATTTCAACAAAAAGTGACAATCTGCTTGAATGGGTGATAATAATTTGTGTTTATTATTAAGACTTCAAATTACATTTAATTCGGGAACTTTGACTAAATGTTGTATTACTAGAAACTTATCAGCGAACTGTCGACAATTCACAACAAAGAAAAGAATGTCAACATATATATGTCATGGCTCAGCTATTAAGGTAGTTGGTGACTAGAACTTCGTAATTACCTAAACTTAAAGTTTGGGGAACATTGATTGTGTACTTATAGCCCTATTGCTTGGCCACCACGATCCCCTGATTTGTCACCATTTGATTTTTTTTTACGAGCTCATTTACAGTCGATAGTTTATGCTGTTTCAATTCAAAATAAAGAACATTTAAAGCAGCGACTAATTTAAATTTACTACGTAGAACGGAATTGTGCCTACGGATTTCATTTCGAACATTTGATATGACTTTTTCACCATATCGTTTGTGTTCATTTAGTCAAGGTTTGGAATTGAATGTAATTTCGAGTCTCAATAATAGACACAAGTTATTATCACCCATTCAAACAGATTGTCAGTATTTGTTGAAATTTTCATTTCTTTGCCTTCAAAAACATCCCAAGGTCATGGTACACTAGGTCGTTGAATTCGTCTTGACACAGACTATAATACTGCTAAATAAAAAATACAAAGTGCCATTTAAAACAACGAAGGTCACCTTGACAATACTAAAAAAAAATTGTTGTAAAACCTCTTTTACTGCAATTTATATGCAATGGATAGCCAACCGAAAACTGATGAACATTTGTTTAAAATATTTTTTTGTCAGATTATCGCAAGTACTTGAAAAATCATGAAGTGTTACGTGGGACACCCCGTATATTACCACTCTATCAATACTACATTTTCCATTTGTAAATAAATGTAAGATTTCAAAAATTGGCCTCGAGACATTCTTTCAAGTACAAATATTAATTTCCAAAGGCCATGCAATCATTACTTATATTCTACAAGCGAGTAAATTGCTCAATAAGTCTCTTGGAATTTTTTGTTATGCTTTTATCAAGCTTGGAATACGTCCTTCAAGTTTCAAGTATTATCATTTGTTTGAGCCAACACTTCAATAATTGCCACGACTGTCAATCGATTTCTACGATTCGATTCAACGAATCGATCGTAGACATTTGAAAATGAATAGTATGATAAGTAAACGTTTGATTGTCGATTGTCGAAGTTAAGGAGAGTGATTCCTCATGGTAAGACTGTTTTCGAAATCCACGAATCCAAACTGAAGAGAGATGTGCCGGTGTGTAAAGTTCGACCTGCCTCTCTCGCGGTTTTTACTTTCAGAATTTCAAGGACCTGCGCGCGGCTTAGTCGCGCGAGTCTCAACTCGGAAATTAAAAATATCATACGTCAACGAAATCCAAGAGAATACAAAGCTTTCCGATGTCCACGACGAACACGAAAGCGAAAATCATTGGAACATTCATTAAAAAATTGAATTTCATTCTAGACGAAGTAATCGTATCGTTATTTTGTCAGGTTATCATTTTGATTGGTAAATCTTTGATTTTTCTAAAACTGATATTCATTTTTTAGTTAACACCTTCGCGTCCACTGTAATCATTTTGATAAAGAACTGTTTCAAAGATGGACAAAATTCTTTTTTTTGTAATAAATACACTGTGGGTCTTTGTGTAAAATAAAATCTTTGCAAACAAAAATTACAAAAATTGAATCTATGCACATAGGAATTTATTTTACTCTGCAAATGTTAGAATACAAACGTGACTTTCAATATTCTTTTATATTGTTGCATAATGTGTGTATTTTGTAACTTCTTGCACGTTTAAATGCGTAAATATCTACAGTCTAGTAATAAAATAGTATTTTCCTAATAATATTTAGAGTTTCTTTTTAATTATGTAAGAAATATTTGACAATTTAACTGGCTATATATTCATCTATTATCCAATCAAAATTCTGTCCATTCCAGGTTCCAGAATATTTCCAACTATTCACGAGTTTCTTGTAGATACTATAAACCGTTACATCACTTAGATATCATCCTAGAATTGGTACAAATTTTCAAACCGACAAGTTCATGTCCACGGTATCATTTTCGATAAATACCAATTCCAAGATCAAAGATAAACTTCTTATCTAAAGAAAATGTTCGATCACCAAAAACAAAAAATAAACAACATTGCACTCCTAACAGGTAGAATAAAGTCCAAGTCCTCGTGTTATGCAATTGCATACTTGACAGAGAACAAACGAAACTTTTCGACCGAATGAACAATTCTTTGATTGAATAAACATCACAAACAAATCCCCACAGTGTCGGTTTCAACTCAATTTCCCCATCATCCCAATTTTGCCCATCTCTGGTTTCATCCAATTCGTATCGTCGCGCGTTGCGTCGATAGATCGTCGATTAATCGCGACGTAACCGTTGAGATAAACCGAATCAGAACAATATTCACTGCATCCAGGGGGCACGAAGAGGTTAACGTAAATTCACCACCATTCAATGTGAAAACAATAAAGTCGGCATTACTTCAATCCCAAGCCCTTCTTCTCGCCATCTTGTGGAAGATCCTCCGAATAATCCACGGTAATTATCGGGTTCATTTTTGATGCACCAACGCCAGCCATCAAGTTGTCCGAGCTCTTCCAAATCGGATCTTCCTCTGTTCTTTGCGCCAAGACGAATCTTTTTATGCGTTTCATTCCGTAAGCCCCTTCCCAGTGGCTCCCGGTAGCAACAAGTCAAGGATCCCGAACAAAAAAATGTTTCCGATGCACCGAGTGGCTAACGATTACCGATCGATACCGAGCACACCTGTTCGTTCCCTTACGCTTCCTTGCACCTCGTTCCTTTTTCTCTTAAAAAACCGCAACCACTGGAAGCAACGCGTACTCCTTCCACGATTTTCCTCCGACTACTCGATGTACGCGAACCAGTCTAATTTATCCTGTTTTCGGCTGGTGGTCCGCTCTTCCATATAAATAATGCACTCCGTCCAGAAATATGGTACCCTTTGATCGAACCGTCCTCTTTTCTTGGCCAATGTTCGCTTCTCAAGACCAGGGAGATCTTGCGTCTCGTAGTTAATGTCAATCCACGTGGATGATCGGTATTTTAAATTTGCAGATAACTTCCTGAGCCCATAAAATCGTGTCATTCGCCGATCTATTGTAGCTCGACAGATGCTATTCAATGTTTCTCACTGTTAGTACTTTCTATCCTTTCTCGTTCTTTTCGCGATGGTTTTATTCATTCTCTTCCAAAATTCGGGTTAAACTCCAGTGTTGAATCGATTACCGCGGCAGTCGTCGATAATGCATGTAGAGACATCCAATATCTTGTTTTTCCGCGGCGAGGCTAGTTTTTCACGACCAATAGTCGTGTCCAGTCTTCGGCATGTGAAAAAAAAACACCCCGTGACGCTGGCGCTATCGTCGAGCCGATTAACATTGACGCGATTACATCAGATCAAACGTGGATTATCATTGTTGAGGCGTTTACGTATCCGTAGTTGATGCAGTTGACGATCGATCACTGAACGGTGTTCGTCGCGTGTGCTAGTGCGATCATTGGAACGATCACGAATGTTATCGTCGGAGAACGTCCACGATCTCGACGAATGGCGAACGATTTTAAGTTCTAGGACGCTCCAGATTTACACCGTTAACCCTTTGAGCAAAGTGTCCTGTAGATAATTATTTAGAAATCTCTGAGCTGAGCAATGAGGTGTCCATCGTGCGCGACAAGAAAATAATTAACTGTTAATTTCCACGAGTATCGAGGCCATCGAATTAAAAGGCTTTGTAGAGAAAATGCGAAATTTGCATTTGCGAAACTTCCAACGCGTTTGTGCCGACGTGTTGCCAGGCTGGCATTATGAGACGTAAATGTGTCTCAGCACTGCTCAAAGGGTTAAAGGATTTTACCGTGGGATGGGCACGTGGTGATGCAAGGAAACGTGCAAGATACCGTGGCGACTGAAACCGTCGTCTATCGGTCTTAGAAGACCCGTGGTCACTGACAACCGGCAAGGTTGACGATTATTTCCATTCGATGTTTACCCCTACCTTGCAACACTTTGTACGCGGAAGTAACGTGCTTCTTACAAGAGAAGTGAACGGACAACCGATGTCAGCCGTCTTTCTCGCGTGCAATCTCGGCCAAACGCGAGCCGGCACTTTGTTCCATAGTTAATACTCGTTACTCGTGGATCGCGGAATTCGATGTAAAACGCGCCCGCGATTTCGAATACGGCGATTGACGCCGTATAGGAGATTAAACACGTGCCGCATTGGCGATTATGCATACTTTATTTTTTGTTGGGTCTAAATTGAGTATCTACGGTGGGACATAACTGTAGCACCGCTACAATTTTCGTGGGTTTTATAGATTTAATTAATAATTTCAAATCTTTAATAGTATCATGTGAAAAAGACTAAAAATATATTATAGCAATGATAAAACGGCGAACATAACATTTATTTAAGACAACTAATAATAATACTATAGATATTTCATAGGTGTACAACTATAGCGCTAATGGATTTATAACATAATAACAATATTAAATTATAATGTAATGATTAAATTATAATTTCAACGAATAATAGGGAATGATTTAATAATGGGTAGGACCTTCTTTCTCCTTGATTAACTCAAAAATGCGATTTGCCATACTCTCAACTAGCTTTTTTCAAAATTTCATCGTTAATTTCATTCCAGGATTTTAGTACAACTTCTTTTAACTGCGAAATGCTCGAAAAATGTTGGTTGTGTGCATAAATACGCCGTACCATCATACTCCATAAATGTTCCATCTTATTTTGATCCGGGAAACATGCTGGCCAGTTTAATAAATTTATATTAAGTGTTTGGAACCATCTTAGTGTTGCTCGACTTTTGTGTATTGGGGCATTATCTTGTCGATACGTCCAAGTAATGTGATTCTTCGAATGAATAAGCGGCAACAAATTGTTCTTCAATATTTCAATGTACTTTAAATTATTCATTCTGGATGAAGGAAACGCTAATTCCAGCTTGCCACTCGAGCAAAACGCAGCCCATACCATTAACGTTCCCCCGCCAAAATTGTGTTTAGAGAAATATTTTGGGCCTTTTCGTAGGTCTCTCCAGTAACAATTGAACCCATCTGGGCCATCGAGATTAAACTTTTTCTCATCGGAAAATATTACCTAACAAAAAACGTTTAATGGAAGAAATAAGGTCGCCTCTTATTTTGTCGATTAACATTAAACTTACATGATCCCAGTTTTTATTCATGTGTTCGCGGGCATATTCCATTCTTGCTATTTTGTGGCGTTTAGAAAGACCGGGTGCTGAAATTAGTTTTTGTCTGGCAATGTTTGGATTCCTTTTAAAGACACGTTGAATGGTCCAACGTGACACTTCGAGTCTACATTCCGCTGTAATTCCCCGACAGGTTATCAAACTATTGCTCCCAATTTTAATAACCTGCCTCTCAGCATGTGGGGACAGTTTCTTCTTAGATCCTTCTTTCTTATTTTGGCCATATTTCGACGGATTACGTCAAAAATTTGATATAACTTTAAGGGATCGCCCAAGTTTACGTGCAAATTCCCTAATTCCAAGTTCTAGCTTGTTATAAGCTAAAATTTCACCTTGCTCTTTCTCAGTAAGATATTTACTGCGTGTCATTGTATTAATTAACCCTTTGCACTCGAGCGACGCACATTGGGACAAAACGGCTCTCGGTGATCAAAAATCCGTAACTTTGGTTCTTGAAAATATTTTAATGAAATTTTAGGAACTTATTCCCTATACTATGATACTTAAATTGTATTAGTATAAATCAATTTGAGCTACAGGGTGTCCAAATATTCACGTATAAAGTGTAACGCGTTCAATATCTTTCACTTGTTTGACATATTGTTATTTAACCAAACTTCAACTCAAACCTGTTATTAACTATGAGAGAAACGTATTTAGTAATTTAAAAATGACCAGAATTACGTAATAATCATAGAAGTAAGCGTACAAACGTACATACTATTTTCTGTTCGAGTCCTACTTAGTACAATCGCCAATTTCTCGAAAAGGGGCACGAAGGGGCACCTGATCTTTGCAGAATCTGATAAAGGATTGATCACTCTTTCCAGTGATAGCGAATAAACCTTGGACAAGTGCGGTCAATTTTTTATAACCATGCGTAAAGTTACAATTTTACTTAAATGTACTTCTCTCCAAGCAGACCCTATTATTTAAAAAGTTGTTAACATTTTGACTTACTTTATGCATTGAATACTATCTACACAAATCTAGTAAACATTATAATTCATTTGAATATCGTCTTTCTGAGCAAAGATTTTTAGAATCGTACATTGAAGTTAGGAGTAATATCGTAAGCGTTTTGCTTGGACGAATTTCAACTGCCTTTGAATGCGCACCAGAACTAAACGAGAGGAAATATAAACAAAGGGATTGGACTACATTAAACAGCAATTTGTTCTCTATCCATGTACTTAAACAGTTTTTCCATTTTTCGAATTCACAAAAATCGATTTTTGATCGCCGAGCGCCGTTTTGTCCCACTGTGCGCCGGCGGAGCGTCCGTGGCCGCCTTGCGCGTAGCCTATACTCAGGGTTGCGAGTAATTAATTACTTTTCTAATTAATTTCCGTCTTTAATTGACAATTAATTACAACTAATGTAATTAAAAATTATTTAATTAAAATTGAATTAAGCAGAGTTAATCTAAAGTCGTTTAATTGACGATTACTTTAAGCAGAATTAAATTAAAGTCATTTAATTGTCCATTACTTTAAGCAGAATTAATTCAAAGCCATTTAGTTGACGACTGATTTAAGAGGAGTTAATTGAAAGCCATTTAATTGACGATTGATTTAAGAGGAATCAATCTAAGCCATTTAATTGACGATTTGTTTATATTTTCAATGTTAAAAGACATTTATATAAAATTCAATGAATTATATTAGTAACAGATATACGGTTATTAGATGGATGCCAGATATATCAAGCGCTCGTGCTAAATGGGTTATGCCGGTTATGCCAAATTAGCTGAACTGTTTTATATTTGTATCATATTACTTTAATTTATACCTACGTTACATATTTGTTTTATCTTGTTCTCATAATAATCTATTATTTGAAATAATCTACAATGTAAATAAGAACAAATTTTTATTCTTATTCACGGACGACAAAATAAAACAAATATATAACATAGGTATAAGTTAAAGTAATATAATAAAAACATGAAGCAATTCAGCTAATTTGGCATTACTGGCAAACCCTTTCGGTACGAGCGCTGGATATATTCGTCATCCATCTAATAATCTTATACGTGTTACTTATACAATTAATTGAATTTTATATAAATGTCTTTTAACATTGAAGATATAAACAAATTGTCAATTGAATGGCTTTGAATTAATTCTGCTTAAAATAATCGTCAATTGAATATCTTCGATTAAATTCGCTCATATCAATCGTCAATTAAACGACTTTCGATTAACTCTGCTTAATTCAATTTTAATTAAATAATTTTTAATTACATTTATTTAAAATATCTATTAATTAAGTTGATTGAATTATATTTGTTTAAATTAATTATTTAATTACAAAATTGTAATGGATTATTATTCAAACCCTGCCTGCGCTACAGTTTCTGTTAATATCTCCTTAACGAAGCCTTGGAGAACATTTTTGCTAAGGAAAAAGTTGTTTCAAATCACCACTCTAACCACTCCTTTTAAGAACTTCCAACATTTTTGGGACAAACTGTATATGTAAAATGAACCTACAAATCTTATATATGTGCTATCATTCTATAAATAGTTACACGAACACGAGACCAATCTTCATCAATTTTTCGATTTTGCTCTATTTTGTTTTACGAAATTTACGCCATTAAATTTTGTTAATTTCTGATTTTTGAAGTTCGTTTACTTTATAAAAAGGAACCAATCCCGACAACCCAGATTAATGCGCCTCTTTTATTCAGTGAGTTAAAGTCGTTTGAAAATTTTGTTTAAAAACGTGATCGATATGAAAATTTCAATTTTACGTGAAGCACATTCAAAATAAAGTATGTACTGCCAGTCTCGCACCTATGAACTAAGCTATATAGAGTAACTTTCATGAAAAAAATATGACACCATTCTTACGTTAGAAGATATTGATATTTGAAGCAAATAAATTCGTATTCTGTATCATCGACCTATGAAGAAATGATAAAAAAAATTAAAACACGTGGTACAAAGCTGTTTGAAAATGTTTTGATCAATTTAAATATACAATAAATATCATTAAATATTATTTAAATATTTCTCATTTTATTGTCATAGTCCACGTGAGCTGCACGTGCCTCACAAATTCCAATGACACGACCTTAACCCTTCGCATTCTGAAGATGCCGTTATACCACACAGTTCCATATTATAATATATGCATCACAGTATGGTTCAAGTTTTATTTATGACAACACAAACTCAAATGAAAAATAAACTAAAAGTAAAATAATTACAAATTTATACAGATTTTAAAAATGTAAAACGTTTTTTGTCCACAATTATCGTGAAATGAAAATCTTATTAATTTAAAAAAATAGAGCCATAAAATTACCTCAAAGTTACTAGACGTTCATAGTGTGATTGAAAGAGTTAAAGGCGCTACTAAATAAATAATGCAAGATTTGTTGATAACTAGACTGTGAATGTTTATGCAAATTCATATTTTTATCGGTTCATATAAAGAATGAAGATTGAAATAAAAATATGTTTTATCTTCTAAACACTGTAAAATGTATGTTCTTCTTGATAATTTATATATTATACATTTGCGTACATTTTCATAGATTTTCCAATATTTTCACTTGCCATAAATGTATAAACATCTGCAGACTATTGATAACAATGCAAATTAAGATATCGCTAATAACTACAGTAGGTGTAGAAAGTATTCGTACACCGATCAATTTCCAAAAAAAACTATGTAAAATTGTAATTTATTAACTTATTTTTTATAAACAATGACATTCTATATACTCTTGGAAATCTCTAGAATAGATAAATTATAAAAAAAATAGCTATTTATGTAAGTTGCGAAATTAACAAAGAAAAAAACAATTAATCGATAGAAACATTGAAACAATAACTATTCGCACAACTGTTTAATTTTTAAAACTTC